GTAGTCATGGAGTTTTCACAGTGACTGAGCTCCTGGGCTGCGACCATCTTCATCAGCAGCCAAATGCTGATGTGAGAAAAATTGTCCTGGATGCTCTCCATCTTGGATTCTATTACTTTTGACCTTGCCTGCTTCTGTAGCTGTTTGGACTTTCTTGTCAAAATGATATTTTGTTTTTGTTAGACTAAACTTGTTCTAGGGACTTTTTCCCTCTTTTTAAAAATATTTTGTCCCATGATCAACTGTGGATTAAAAAGAGAGAGAGGGAAAGAGAGAGAGGGAAAGAGAGAGAGAGATCTGTTTTCTTCCAAAATCTTTGAACTTGCCAGTTTAACTCAGCAGTACTCAAAGGATAAGCTTATCTATCTATCTATCTATCCACAGATAGATGGAATCCTGAATATATATTATATGTATATAGGAATATATGTTATATATCATATATATGAAAAAAATATATATAATATATATTCAGGATTCCAATATATTTCTTGGCCTTAGCTGTTATTGATATAGGCAAGAAAAAGTAAAAGTAATATTTTAAGTTTATAATATTCTAAAGACATTTTGTAATGCCTTTTGTGGCTTGGACTCATCCCTGACTATCTACCTACCTACCAGCTGTGTTAATCAACCACAAGTTATTCAGGCACTCTTTGCTTTGGTTTCCTTTAGTGTATTTGTAAGAGAGGGGCTTATAATTACATCTACCTTAGATTGCTTTGGAGATTAAATAAATTAATATATGTAAAACACTTAAAGAGTTCCTGATACATAATAAGTATTGTCTAGCTATGATTATGAATATTACAATGATTATGAATGAGATTTAAAGGTATGATTCTAAAGGGAAGACTAAACCGAGTTAGCTTTTGTCTAAGTTTTTAAAGTGGTTGAGCAACTATTACATCTCTTTGGCCAACCATTCTTCAAATATCAGAACATGTTGGGGGTGTTAGCATAGGCAACACTTATGCTTTAGCATGCTCCCATGAAGGCCAAGGGTAATCGAGGCTGAAGATACCCCAAGAAGCCAAGTTAGAATTCACAGCAAAAAGATGTTTACCATTTCCTCAGTCTACTAATTCCAAGTTTTACTACATCAGCAAGTGATCTTGATAAAAGAAACTCTAATATTCAAAATTCTCTGCATCTGCTTATATAGTCCCTTCAACTAAATACTTTGTATTTTAGGAGATAACATTCTTTTGAATAATAATTATTCAGACATAAAGTGCTAAAGTCCTTTACTTCTTTCTAATTGCCAGTGGTGTCCAAGTAGTTATCAAATTGCTAGAAAATATACTATGGACAGTATAGTTAGAAAATTTAGCAGGTGGTCCCCAAATTTCTACTACTTAATGAATATTTCAAAACACATGTGAGAAAATCAGAAAATTGGGTATCCTGTACATAAGTTTCTACTGAAGCTTGTATCAGTTTCTGGGCACAATTACATCAATGACGCACATCCATAGGCAGTTTACCAGGTTAAATGACTATGGCATTGGCTGTAATTGCCAAATTATTTCCTAACAGTAATTCCGAGTAGGGGAATAACAAAAAAGGCTATCCAGTGTGTTACTGTTGCCGATGAAAACAAATAGGATCCTTGGGGTTTAATTAGAGAACTTCTAACCACACCTAAAAAACGCTAATGTTAACATGCTCGTGTGAAATGGGAACACTGGACATCTGGAAGATAAGTCTGGATTTGGTTACGTGCCTTGAGGAAACTCAATCCACAAACTTGTGACTAACCAAAGGAGCAGTGGTGCTTACTCGTGGGGTTCATATACAGGTAGAAATGACAAAGGTGGATGTTGGCTACCTGCAAAGCAGAGCAATTCAGGGTAGTTAACATCACAAGGAATCCAGGGTGATGATGGCTTCTTCAGCCCTAAAATAAAAAGATGTCATTTCAAATGAAGAGCAGAAACAGGAAAAGTTCCTTCTTCGTTGGCAAGAACAAACATGGCCCCTGGAACTCACAACCACATGATGTCAACTGGCATCAGAGAGTCTTAGGAAAAGAATACTGAAGAGCCACCTATGGCAGCAGAAGCTCAGAGGGGCACTGGTCTCTCACTTGGTGGGAAAGGTCAGGAAAGGATTATATACAGCAAAAGGTGCACCACAGCATGTGACAAAGAGCACTGCATACCATTATCTTTTTCCTGTCCCTCTTTCCTACTGCCAAGGCCAATCACATATACGTATGGATATGTCTGCCGTGGGTAATGCAAACAGTTTGTACACAACTACTAATGAAAAGATTGGCGATGGAACCACCACAGCAGCACCATGGAAGAAAGCCTGGCAACACGCTTCTGTAAAAATCACAGCCAAGAAAACCTCATGGAACAGCTCTGTAACACATGCGGTCACTGTGAGGTGGAATTGACTCGACAGCAACAGGTTTGTGTGTTTACATATGTTCATAATACACACACACACACATAATATACACACATGTACATATACATGTATATGCATATAATAAATATGTAAGTATAAATGCAATAAATATGTGTGTAAATATATATACAATAAATATATAAACATATACATATATATCATAAATACACATTTAAATATGTATATACATATAAACCCACTGTCATTGAGTTGATTATGAACTCATGGTGACCCTGTAGGACAGAGTAGAACTGTCCCATAGGGTTTATAAGACCATAAATCTTTCCAAAGCAGACTGCCTCATCTTTCTCCTGTGGTGCAGCTAGTGGGTTAAAACAGCTGATGTTTTGGTTACTAGCCAAATGCTTTAACCACTGTGCCACCAAAGCTCCATATGTGTGTGTGTGTATAAAAACCAAACTCACTGCCGTCGAGTTGGACCCGACTCATAGCAACCCCTCCTTGGGTTTCTGAGGCAGTATCATTATGGAAGTAGATTGCCCAACCTTCCTTCTGAGGAGTGACTGGTGGATTTGAACCGACAGCCTTCTGGTTAGCAGTCAAATGCCTTAGGCACTATGCCACCAGAGCTCCTGTGTGTGTGTATATATTTTTATATGTGTGTGTATGTGTGTGTGTGTGTGTGTGTGTGTATAAATAATATCCCAATGCACTAGAAATGCTAATAAGAGGGTCAGAACTCTTGTTTCTGTATTTTTGAATCTTTCCAAAGCTATGGAAAAAAATAAGTTTTTTGATCACTTCTTATATGGTTTTAGGACTAGTCTTTATCTTTTATAGTGAATCTCATCCTATCTAAACTTGGTTTTGTGTAGCTTAGGTATAAACTTGCAGGCTTCTTGGCATATCTTCTATTCTCTCCATAAAAGGTAATGTCATTATCTCTAAGTTACTTGTGATCCACTTTGCATGGTATAGCAAAAAGCCATAGTATTTTCAATCACCTCATATGCTGGACAATGAATAAGGAAGACTGACGAAGAACTGGTGCTTCTGAATTACGGCGTTGGTGAAGGATATTGAATGCACTCCGGACTGCTGAAGAACGAACAATCTGTCTTGGAAGAAGTACAGCCAGAATTCTTAGAAGCAAGGATGGTGAGACTTTGTATCACACGCTTTGGATATGCTATCCAGTTCTTGAAGGAGGACATCACACTTGGTAAAGTAGAGGGTCAGTGAAAAAGAGGAAGATCCTCAACAAGATGAGAGACACAGTCCCTGCAATAGTGGCTCAAACACAGCAATGACTGTGAGCATGGCACAGGACTGGGCAGTGTTTGGCTTTATTGTACGCAGGGTCGCTATGAGTTGGAACTGACTGAATGACACCGAACAGCAGCAACAAAGTAAAACCACTTAAAAACAGGGAGCAGAGTGTAAATGTACATTCTAGACTTCCACAGCCATCAAGTAAGTGGTGTGGAGCAGTGGTACTAGGTTATAGTTTACACACTTACTTGAGGAGACATAGGTGTGGTAGGGGTAGATGTGTGCCAAACAGTGAATCAATTCATGAATATTCAGCCATGACATGGAAAATGAAAATGAAATAAGTATGACTGTAACTATATTGGTCTGTTAATATTCAAATATTAATATCAACTTTCCTTTGACAGGCATTATTGAACATTTCCTGACGAGAAAATGACAGTCTGGGAAGAGACATATCTTTAAGAAAGCATTTACGCAGGGTTTGAATAACATGTTGTTTGCTCAAGTCAAGGAAATAGCCCACCACTTAACATAAATTCCCCATCTGAATATGTCTTCTCATTTAGGATCCTTTGGAAAAACTTTCAAAATGTGTAACAACTTTTCATACAATTTACACATGGTCCTATTTTCCAAAGACTTTGATTTCATATTTGAATGCAATGGCATTTGACTTTGTTAGTATGGAATATTTAAACTTTAAAAGAAAATACCTTAGTTTGTATATGCATAAGCCCATTAAAAAACACTTCTGGGGCTCTTGTTATGTTTATTCTCTAGAACATAACCTATCTTTGAAGCAGTATATTAGTTTCTAAAAAGTCATTCCCAAGCTGAATAATTAGTCTGAAAACAAAAGCTATTCTTAGAGTACATTCTGCATAGAAAGCTATGCACATGATGTTTGACTCAAATAATATTCTTATAAAACTCTGTTATTGTTTGAGGTCTACATTCACAGTGACAACTTTTTGTTTTTGATGATTACTCCATCCAGAAACAATTTCCCCCCTGCCCAATTATACTAGAATTAGGAGCACATTGATATCTGATGAGGCTTAAACTTCTCAACTGCCTGATTCAGAAATGAAAAGCTTTCATGATTTTGTTAATTTTCTCTGTGTAGAAAGCTCAAAAGAAAACAGAATCAGTCCCTTTAAGTTTTTCTGGAAGACAAAGGTTGCTCTTGTTGCTTTGATCTTAGCATGTTGTGCATTTTTTTTATTGGTTGTTCAATATAAAAAGCCATAGCCTCATCTGATTTTTCTGCTATATTCTCATACTGTAAATCACATAATGCCTTCTGATCTAAATTAAAATGCCTAGGTCCAAAATATTATTTCAAAATCGATTTATCATTACAGTTGATAAATTTCCAGGGTGTTAGAAACATATTCAGTAGTTTGATTAATATTCCATACACTGTTAAACATATATTCATGCACTTTAGACAATGAATTCCTGGATACACACATACACTCATGCTATTTTAGGTCCCTTTTCCTACCACTGCAAGAGGCTGTCTTAGCTAATCTAACAGCTGTCTAGGTTATTGCTTCTACAATATAACCAACCCATAATGCAAAAGCAGCTCTTTTCCAAACATTTTAGAGCAACTGAAATTGTTTATATGCCCCTTTTAGGTGATTTTTCTATACATTTGTGTCAATTGGTGTCATATTATTTGGTAAAATCATTAAATTAAGATAACTGCAGTTGAATATCTCTTACACAGAGAATTACAGAAAAATTACAGTAGCTGATCTGAGACCATCATCAAGTAAATACATAGTTTTAGAAAATGAATGCAAACTACAAAAATGGCATTGTATAATTAAACATCAAATAGTCTAAGTAATAAAAATCATAGATTAATTGCCTCTCAGTTCTGGTGAGATCCTTTAAATACTGTCTCACAACTTGGACATTGGTTCTTTCATCAGAAGAGTGCCTATCCTTAAAGTTTGGAAATTTCAGCTCTTTTGGAGCACCAACCAGCTGTAGAAAGTAATTGGCATCTTCTTCCAAAGTTTCAAATTTTCCTACGAAATCATAATTGATCAAACATGGATAGCAGAGTTTGCTGACCTTTTCCCAGTGAATGTCCATTCCTACGGGTCGGTGGGAATCCAGCAAATAGTGGATGAACTCTTTGAATTTGACTCCAGATCCATTGTTTAATGCTTCTTCACAGGCATTTGGCCGATATTTCTTTATAATTGCCTTCCCAAATACTGGATGGTAATAACTATTGGGGTGTTCAAATTTGTCCCTAAATGCTGACACTAATCTTTCTATGGGATCACGAACAAACACAGCTTTGGTATAGGTATCTAAGCGCATATATATCCCTTTTAAGTCAAAGCTATCTAGCTTTTTCAAATGCTTTCCATAGTGGACAGCATCATGGGAGATGTTGTATGCAGAGGAGGCCAATCCATTTAGTACCATCAGAATTCTTTTCCAGTTAGAACAGCCAGCCTTTGGTACTTCACAGTATAAGATCTTGTGTTTATCTTCTACATAGATCCTGGAGACCATATGAAAAAGATGTGACTGGGGACGACTCACCCCACTGTATTTTTTGCAAAACTCCTGAAGGAAAGATCTGCGTTTTTCTTGGGTCACATCAGTGTTCTTCCATTTGTGGTCTTTGACTAAACTTTTATTCAGAGGCCTATTTTCCAATGGCCAATTCATTTCACTGAACTTCCTGAAAAAGTTCTTAGTTCTTTGTTGTTTTGCAATCAATTTACTTGCCGATGACCTTGTGGTCTTACCCAAAACTTGATCCTCTTTTTGTGAGAGGTGGATCTCCGTTAAGATTCCTGTAGGCATCTCAGAGTTGACTGGAAATTTTTCCTTTGGATCCTCAAGCATATGGAACTTGGGGTTCTGTTAAAACAGAGAAGAAGAAAGGTTGAAGCACATTCATAAATGTGGGTGTACCAGATATGGAACCTAACACGTTTGTTTTAAAATACTGTTGAGGAGAACGTATTTCATATATGTTGTCAGAACAATTTAGCAATTAATGCTGAAGATATATTTTGCAGTAAGCTTCTTAATGGAAAACATAACAATGAAAAACAGTAGCAGTAAGATGAAGATGAAAGGGCCTTGAGTTTTCATCCTGGCTTTCCCAGTAACTCTATAGAATGTAACTCAATCATTTTGTAGGTCCATGATTCCTTCTGAGCTATTAAGGAGTGTGTTATCTTCAAGTATTGATTTAGTCAGTGCATCTAATTCTAGATATAAATGTAAATAATATTTGGATTAATTTTTGTTGTTGTTCTTGGGGTCATTCTGAAATGCACAGAACAGTTCAAAATCATAAATTACATAAATTGTAGCATGGTTAATCATAAAGTCCTGGTAATATTTGTAAAAAGTGCTGTATTTTTCTCTTGGAAAATGTATCATTTTTCTAAGTTAATGTATCACAATAGTTTAAGAAGTATAAGCAAAATTAAAATAAAATTTCATTAGGTCTTTCTTAAGTGAAAAATGAAAAGTCTGCTTTATGTCCTGCTATACAAAATAACATGAAAAGTAGAATGAGAATTTGGTTTCCTTGCCAGAAGAATGAATCAGCCCTTTTATTTGTATTCCTCTTCTGACTACATGCTTCCTACAACTCTTGCAGTGACTTGATAAAGAAAGAAATGGGAGATAGATTTTTACAAGGAAACATGTGGCTCACAAGGTGGCATTTTGTCCTCTGATAGGGACAAAAATTGTAAGGACTTTGGCTCTAACTAACAACGAACTACCAATGGAGCCTTTGGAGGGTTCTGAGTAGAAAACTGACATGATCTGACTGACACTTGAAAAGGATGAGCATGAGGGAGAGTGGACTAGAGACACGCATATGGGGTTTCAGCATATAATTGGACAAATTTAAAAATAAGTGATGTGCTGTGGGAATAACAGATGTGACCAACAGTCTAAAAGTGGGAGGAGTGATGGAGAAAACTTCCTAAAGGATTTTAATTTTCTTTCTTTCTTTTCTTCTTTTTCCTATTTTATCCCTTGTGTCGAGAACTGTGTTTATCATATAATGCTGACGTTGTTGTTGTTATGTGCCATCGAGTTGGACCTGACCCATAGCGATCCCTCCTTGGGTTTCTGAGGCAGTATCACTATGGAAGTAGATTGTCCAACCTTCCTTCTGAGGAGTGGCTGGTGGGTTTGAACCGCCAGCCGTCTGGTTAGCAGGCAAGTGTCTTAGCCACTATGCTACCAGAGCTAGGAGCCATCAAGTTGGTTCTGACTCATGGTGGCGCGATTTACAACAGAATGAAACACTGCCCAGTCCTGTGTCACTCTCCCAATTGCTGCCATGTTTGACTCCATTGTTGCAGGCACTGTGTCAGGCTATCTCATTGAGGGTCTTCCTCTTTTTGGCTGACCCTCTGTTTTACCAAGCATGATGTTCTTCTCTAGCACCTGTCCCTTCTGATAATATATCCATGGTAAGTGAGACAAAGTCTCATCATCATTGCTTCCAAGGAGCATTCTGGCTGTACTTATTCCAAGACAGAATTGTTCATTCTCCTGGTAGTCCATGGTACAGTCAATTTTCTTTGCCAACATCATAATCCAAAGGCATCAGTTCTTCAGTCTTCCTTATTCATCATCCAGCTTTAAAATAAGATTTCATTAGGTCTTTCTCACAAGAAAAATGAAAAGTCTACTTTATGTCCTGCTATACGAAATTACATCAAAAGTAGAATGAGAATTTAGTTTCCTTGCTGGAAGAATTAATCAGCCTTTTTATCTGTATTCTTCATGAGGCAGTTGAAAATAATATCATGGTTCGGTCAGGCATACCTTAGTCCTCAAAGGGACATCTTTGGTTTTCAACACTTTAAAGAGGTTAAAAAGTTGTTTTTCCCAGTGTAATACATCATTTGATATCTTGACTACTGCTTCCATGGGTGTTCATTGTGGATTCAAGTAAAACAAAATCCCTGACAACTTCAGTCTTTTCTCTGTTTATCATGATGTTGCTTTTTGGTCCAATGTGAGGATTTTTGTTTTCTTTACATTGAAAAGTAACCCATAGTGAAGGCTGTAATCTTTGATCTTCATCACTAAGTGTTTCAACTCCTCTGTACTTCCAGCAAGCATGAATCTTCCTTCAATCCTGATGCTTTGTTCTTCTTCATATAGTCCAGTTTCTCAGATTATTTGCTCAGCATACAGATTGAATTAGTATGGTGAAAGGATATAGACCTGACACACACCTTTCTCAATATTAAACCATGCAGTATCCTGTTGTTCTGTTCAACTGACTGCCTCTTGGTCTACATGCAAGTTCTACACATGCACAACTAAGTGTTTGGGGATTTCCATTCTTCAAAATGTTACCCATAATTTGTTATGATTCACACAGATGAATGCCTTTGCATAGTCAATAATACACAGTTAACTATCTTTTTGGTATTCTCTGCTTTCAGCCAAGATCCATCTGGTATCAGTAATGATAACCCTCATTCTATATCCTCTTCTGAATCCAGCTTCAATTTATGGAAGCTCCTTGTCAATATATTGCTGCAATCATTTGAGAATTATCTTTAGCAAAAATTTACTTGCATGTGATACCAGTAATATTGGTCAATAATTTTTGCATGCTGTTGGATCACCTTTCTTTGGGATGGGCACACATATGGAACTCTTCCAGTCAGTTGGCTTGGTAGCTGTCTTCCACATTTCTTGGCATGGACACATGAGTGCTTCCAGCATTGCATTTGTTTGTTGAAACATCTCAATTGGTAGTCCATCACTTCCTACAGCCTTTTTTTTTTTTTTTTTTCCTCCAATGCCTTCACTGCAGCTTGGACTTCAATACTACTGGTTTGTGATCTTATGCTACCTTCCGAAATGGCTGAATGTCATCCAATTTTTTTTGGTACAGTGACTGTGTATTCCTTCCATCTTCACTTGATGCTTTCTATATCATTCAATATTTTGCCCATAGAAGCTTGATCAAGGCTTGAATTTTTCCTTCAGTTGTTGCAGCTTGAGAAGTGCTGAGTGTTCCCTTATGTTTTCTAACTGTGGGTCTTTGCACATTTTGTTATAATACTTTACTTTGTCTTCTCAATCTGCCCTTTGAAATCTTGTGTTCAGTCCTCTTACTTCATTACTTCTTCCATTTATTTTAGCTACTCTCCATTCAAGAGCAAGTTTTAGAATCTTTTCTGACATCCATTTTGGTCTCTTCTTTCTTTCCTGTCTTTTAAATGACCATTTGCTTTCTTCATTGATGTCTTATGGTCTTCAGTCATTAGTGTTCAATGTGTTGAACTATTTTTGAGAGGATCTCTAAATTCAGTGGTATATACTCATGGCTGTATTTTGGCTTTCATGGACTTTTAAAATTTTCTGAGTTTCAATTTGAACTTTCGTATAGGCAATTGATGGTCTGATCCACAGTTGGCCCTTGCTCTTGTTCCAACTTGTGATATTGAGCTTCTCTATCAATCTCTGTCCGCAGATCCACAGATGTTGTCAACTTGATTACTGTACAGTCTATCTGTCATGGACCACATGCATAAACAAAAAAAACAAAAACAAAAAAACAAGCCATCATGGTCCACATGCATAGTCACTGTTTATGTTGTTTAAAAAGATATTTGCGATGAAAAAGTTGTTGTCCTTGCAAAATTCTATCATGTGATCTCTGACATCATTTCTATCACCAAAGTTCTATTTTCTAACAACTAATCCTTCTACTTTGTTTCTAACTTTTGATTCCAATCACTAGTAATTATCAATGGATCTTGATTTCATGTTTGATCAATTTCACACTGCAGAAGTTGGAAAAATCTTAAATTTCTTCAACTTTGGCATTAGTGGTTGATGTGTAACTTGAAAAATATTTGTATTAACAGGTTTTCTTTGTAGGAATGTGGATATTATCCTATCACTGACAATATTGTACTTTAGGATAGATCTTGAAATGTTCTTTTTGATAATGAATGCAGTATCATTCCTCTTCAATTTATCATTCCTGGCTTAGTTATCATATAATTGTCAGATTCAAAATGGACAATAATTGTCCATTTCAGCTCATTAATGCCTAGGATATCTATCTTCAAGAGTTCCATTTCATTTTTGACATCTTCCAGTTTTCCCAGATTCATACTCCACATTTCACTTTCCAATTTTTTTTAATAGATGTTTCAGGTATTTCTTCTCATTTTGAGTCATGTCATATCAGCAGATGTAGGTCTTGAAAGCTATACTCTATCCACATCACTAAAGTTGACTCTACTTTGAGAAAGTAGCTCATCCCTAGTTATAGTTTGAGCGCCTTCCAACCTGAGAGGCTCAACCTCTGGCACTATATTAGATAATATTCTGCTTCTATTCACTGACTTTTTTTTTTTTTTTTTTAACAAGTCAATTGTGAGGACTTTCTTCTTAATCTGTCTTGGTCTGCAAGCTCCACTGAAACCTGTCCACCATAGTTGACTCTGCTGGTATTTGAATACCACTGGGATGGTTTCCAGCACCACAGAAACACACAGGCCACCACAGTATGACAAACTGACAGACATATGGTAGAGCACATAATATTCCCAAAGATGTGTTGACAAAATAAATGAATAGAGTTAAGTGTTTATGGGTGATTAGAAAATTTTCAGGCTAGGGGTATAGGGAGGCATTGGGAAGGGCATTTCAAGCAAAAGGCACAGTAAAATTAGCAAAAGAGAAGAGGAATGAAGTAATGTGGTATGAGGGACAATCCCAGGCATCATAGTACTTCTATCAGCTAAGTTCTTTCTAATGCAAGAAAATATTGTGTGAGTAAGCCCATGACTTTCCCAAGTAGATGGTATTTCATGTTTTGATCCATTTGTCCCTCTGGCTAGAAGACAGAG